TTCTATGTTTGTATGGTTCTATGATCGACATTCCTTCAAGCCTGGGAAGACATTTAATGCCTCTTCTCTTGACTGCTAACAGACTATAAATATAATTTTTATAATGCGGTGACAATTGTAACAGAATATCTCTAAATTAAAATGTATTACTTTTAACTACATATACTAATGAAGTAGTTCAGGTGGGTAGCTGTGTCAGCATGCGTAGGCTGCAATAGAACAAGTAATAGGTTTATTCAATGCTGAAAAGAGAAGAAAGAAAACACAACGTTTCAGCTGTGGAGCCTTCTTCGGGTGTAAGAAAGATAGGCCAGTCAGCAAAGATAATATAGCTTGGGAAATCAAAAGCCAGGAGAGAGGAGGGGGTGGGAGCAGGATAGAGGCAGAGTGGCCAATCAAGTGGTGCGAGATCGAGAGAGGTGAGGAGAGGTGTGAAACGAAACCTAAAAATGACAAGAGAGAAGTACAAGAAAACAAGTCTGTCATTGAGAGAAGAGTGTGAACCAAGTTTCAGGATAATTTTGGTTTCTGATGTCTTTCTGGTAGGAGTTAAGAAACCCTACTTTGAGAACACAGATGAAGAGATCAGTATGATCATGGCCATCAGAGGTGAAATGAGAAACGATGTTCTTGGAGAAATCTTTCATCCTCACAGCCCTAACATGTTCTCTGATGCAGTCTCTGAGTCTCCTAATATATATCCTTCACATATCATATATGTACATTTATTCATATATATCATATATGTATGTATATTCATATACTGTACGTGTTGACACTCCTGATCGTGCCGATTACATTGTTATTTTGTCCATGCAGCTTGACATGCAGCTCAAGTCTGTGAGGAATGATAAATCCAGAAGCCACTGGTCATCCTCTAATTGGCATATTCACCATGTTTAGATGACTTGAGAAACTCTTTGATTTCAGGCATCAGCTGTCTGAACCTTGCCAAAAATGTTTGTTTTTGAAATCTCCAAACAGCAAGTCAGAAGCCTCAGCAAACTCTTTTTTACTTCTCGATCCCTTAAGGACTTCTTGTACTTATCCAGGACGGTGCTCACACGGATCGATGCGATGATTACCGCTTTCCCTCTTGTATTAGGCCTCGTGAAAACCGACTGCTGCTAGTTGAGATTTTAATTTTTGTAACTCACTTTTAGCGGGAAAGACTGCATCATACGTTTTGTATGCAGTTTTGAAATTTCGTTCTATATTTCACGTAGACACTACGTGAAATATATCATGCTCCCAATAATATATCATGCTCCCAATAATCATGCTCCCATTCCTTGTGGTAACGGTAAGTTTTCGGATTCTTTACTTCATTATTTTCGCTCAAACAGTACAACTCAAATAGGCTATCAAACTGATCAAACTGATTGCTTATCAAACAATTTGTCACGGCCAGTCTGTTTCACTCCACTATGCACTGTAGCAAATGTGGGGTTCGTGCGGCAATAACCAAGAGAACGTTCTTGGGCAGTACACACAACACTCTTACAAACCAAGCCAGCGCTCAGGGAAGAGACTCTTACAACCCATTCGACAAGGGTTAAACACACACAAGGGCAGTCAAATGTATGGCATTATATGCACAGATCTGAATGATTTTTAGGCTATTGAAAAAAGTAAATAGTCAAATAGCCCATTTATTTTTTTGCCAAACATTCTTGCGATCTATCAACTGGCAAGCACTCTAGTCGATCGCGATCAACTGGTTGGGCACCCCTGCTTTACATATACTAATGTTGGTTTTGCCTTGATATTGCATTGCCACGTTATCCAGAGGAAAACAATGAAGTGTGAACGTATTTTATGTACTGTAGGCTTTTCAAGCTCAGTGTTTCCCATTTTATATTTGTAGTAACATGCAACACTCTGCACTTGTCCACATTAAATGTCATGCTTCAACTGCTTGCTCAGACTTGAATTTTAGTATTTTTGAAGTTGGATTGCTTCTTCCAAAGGGTTTGGTAATCCTCCTTTTTTTGGTATCATCTGTGAACAGGACTAGTTTGCTGACTTTATCAGAATATATAGCAGATCGCTGATACAAATTAAGAAGGGCAGTGGTCCTAACACAAATCCCTGTAGTACTCTACTAATTATATAACTCCAGTTTTAGCATTCAACCCTTATCAGTACTTTTTGTTTTATATCAATTTACAAGCTAACTAAGAATTAAAGGATGATCTGGGGTGTATTATGTTATATTAGTGTCACCAGTTTGTATGAGACTGGTATTTGCAAAACCTGGGAAGATATTACGGTAGCTGATCAGTCCTACATTTTACACGGTGGAGACTAACAATTTTCCATTAACCAAATACTGACTGATAAGACCAATGTGGAATCCATAGACTTTTGGGCAGGTTGTGCACAATTCGGTCATGGTGTTCTCTTTTCGATGTCATCCCTGTCCCGCAACCCTGAATTGGATAAAGGGTTTAGAAAATAGACGGATGGGTCTCGATGACTGGAAAGAGCATAAAAGCACATAAGGTGTTCAATTAGGTTAATGCCATTAAAAAATTGTAATATTATTGTTAGATGGAATCACTAACGAAAATGCTGGCCTGCCATTGTTCTCTGATTAGTGCTTAGTAAATTCTAAAGACAAGGAGAAATTGCATTTCAGTGAAAAAAGATTTGATAAAATAGTAATATTTTATTACACTGTAAGAAATAAAATACAAAATAAGAAGAATTTAAATTTCAAATATAAAATGTATACTTCAAATTTCAATTCAAATCTAAAAATATGCAAAGAATGAGTTACACACTTGCACACAAAAAAACAGGTATAATATCAGACAGCAAAACGGGTCCCTTTCTTTACTGTATTTTCATCTTCAAAATGTACAGTAATTGTTTTTTTTTCCCAGCCAAAGCAAGCAGAAATCTACCATTCAAAAATATAATTTAGAATGGTAACCAAAATCACTCACTTGTGCAATGGGTGATAAATTAGAAAGATATAAAAACGACAGATTGCCAGGGTGACCAGTATCATTCTGTGTTCCCAACACATAAGCAGCCCCAACAGAGAAAACCACGAGAATATTTTTCACTGTTTGCAGCACTGACAGCCTGCCCCTGCTTCTGTTTCATGCTTCATATGTAGCATTATGGACAACAGTCATAAATCTGTTTCCTGGCATTTTATAAATTGCTCTATCTCTGCAATTTTTTTTCTACATCTTTAAAAAGAGAATATTGTCATACAGTACATTGTTTCTGTCACCTGTTTTAATATAAATTTTGGAGACAACAATTCCTATTTTCATTTTTTTTTAAAGATTTTTTATATTTTTGTTTTATTATTTGTTTTCTATATTTGAAATTCTAAACCTGCTGTTGCTACTCAACTGGGGTTATCACAGCTCTCTTATCCACATGTGAAGGAGGGATAACTAAGTACTTGTTTTACACACTGTGACCTCCATGGTACATTACAGGGGAGTTAGTGTCATTTGGCGCTGTTAATGCAGCTCTTACTGACTTTCTGTCTTGTTCAGGGGCTGCTCTGTGGCACCCAAACAGTCATAGAGGTCACTGATGCACAGAGGCCAAGAATGCCCGGGGTGGCTGACGCCCACTCTAGAGTAGCAGCACTTCAGACAGATGCGTGCCTGGACACAGCTTGCTGAATGCATAGCTCAGTTTGTTTGGTGATGTCTGGGTAGTAGGATTGAACCTGCTTTCTGAATGTGTGCTTCTTCTGTTTGAGCTACTGTATGCAGGAGCCCATTATTTACCTGCCATTCATACCACAAAACTGGTTTTGGGGTAATTCTAACATCTGACCAGTGTACAGTAGCTGACAGATTTTATAAAATAGTGTCCTCTAATTCTGTTACACATATAGATTTTTAATGTGTTTTAATATGATCCTTCCATCCATCTGTTCTAGCCTATCCCAGCAAACAACAGGTGCAAGACAGGATACACCAAGGATGAGACGGCAGTCCATTGCAGAAACACACACACTCACAACAGGGTCAGTTTTCCCAGAAGCCAAATAACCTATTATAATGCTTTTGGACTGTGGAAGCAAACAGGAGTACCTGGTACCTGGATTAAACCCACACACATACAGTGACAACATACAAACTCCACTCAGATAGCACCCCAAGTCTGGAATTGAACCCAGTGCCCCAGCATTGCAAGGTAGCAATGCTGCCCACTCCACCACTGTGCCGCCCCTTTTTAATATGTTTTACTAAAATTTCTTTCATACATGACTCCTCAATGAACCATCTAATAAAAACCTACATCTGAAGACAGGGTAGCTATAAGGGTAGCTGGTTGTGACAGAGCTTGACTGTGCTCAGCAGTTTTCACAGGTGTGAGTTTGATAGGTCCTGCCAGGATTGGGTTGAATGAGTCTTGGATTGCAGATCTTCCACTTAAAGAACTGACATTCGGACTGAATTAAGAAGTGGGTAATTAGCCCATTGTCACCTGGGAAGGAATTCTGTATTTTTGAATATGCGAGAGAAAAGAAACAAATTGGAAGCAATCTTTGAGGATAGCCATATAGGGTTTTTGGCTCCCTGATGTCAGTGCAGGTTGGAAACCTGGGATAGTGAGTGGTAACCCTGAATGAGGGCATAAAAGCAGAAAATAATACGTACGTAATACGTACAATGGAAAGCTGGGGACAGTGAAGTTAGAATGCAACACCATTTTGTTTTGTTAAAAAATATCAGTTAACATTACTGTATCTATACAAATATATGCTGTCTATATACAGTACATTACATTAGTGACTCATCTTGTGTGAAGAGAATACTGGTGTATCATCATAAACTAATTAACTAATTAACTCAATATCCAGTTCCAAAATGGATGTTTTGTGTGCAAAAAAACCCAGCAAATATCTTTTGTCCCAAATCTGCCTGCCCCAGTTTTCTCTCGGGACCTCTTGTCCTACTTTCACCATTTACTCAAGCTTCATGTACAGTACAGCACGATTTCTTTTCTCTTTTCAACAGATGTTCGCAGAAGGACAATCTATGAGTATCACCGCGTGGAGCTTCCCAAGACAAAAATCACAAACCTCTCTGCCGTCGAGATGTTGCCCCTTCCCAGTAAGTTCGTATGGGATGTTTTCAGAGCATAGCTTAGCCAGACAGCAGCAGCTTATGGAAGTGGCTGTTTCATGAAATTAAGTTGAATCAGTATTATTAGTTTCCAAATTATTTGCCACACCAATGCTCTTATTCCAGTGCCAAACGATCATTTACATTTAATATGAAATTCTTCTTTGCTTTCCCCCTCAGCGTGCCTCCAGTTCACAAGCTGCGGCCCTTGTGTCACATCAGAAATTGGCTTCAACTGTACCTGGTGTAACAAGCTCCAAAGGTAAAGGTTTAAAGCGACAGGTTATATATGCATTTCTTACATTTTCTTTCAGGTGTACTCATAATGTATTGCATGTAGACACACTCTGTTTTTTTGTTTTCCTTACCATCAGAATAATAACCTTCAACTATTAAATCTGCCTTGAGGTATAATTCAAACTACAGTACCATGTACAGTATGGTCTTCATATCTGCAAATGTAACATTCGTAAGTGTGCTTATTTGCGGTTCAGTCTGGCTGACGAGGTCTCATATGGAAGAAGAGCAGAGTGGGATAAGCTGACAGAAGACACAACTTGCAGATTGACTACAACTGATTGACTATCATTTTCAAATTAGCAATGGAACAGACTAGGATCCTGAAATGAATCTAGCTAGTGAATAAGCTTCTGCCTGCCGCCTGACCATGTACCTGCAACCTAGCATCTGCATCTCAGCGTGGTCTTGTGTGCAAGCTTCATGTTTATTTTAACTGATTACTTTAAATTTGCAATTACTGTTGTTTCTTTTAGTTGATCAATGCTGTTAACATTAACTGAAAGCCAGTACATTAGTACATTAGTACATCTTATAAGCAAGGGTTACGTATATATTTTATAACCTTATATAACTTTTATCTTAAAACCATGCTGTATTGCAGTACATTATGTGATGGTATAGGTGTGCATTTGGTAATATTTGAAATTTTGCTATGCACTATTGTTCTCTGCACTGAACCCTCACAAATGTCAAAACTATACTGTAATAATAGCATAATTGTGTAGTCAGTAGTTCTGAGTACAAGTAGTGACAGAATTTGCAGCATTGTATATTTAATATTTCAAGAACCATGTATCCATGCTTATTAAACATACAATCACTGTAGCAAGCAGTAAATTAGTGGACCTTGCAAGTTTACGGATTTACATAGATATCTATAGCTGTCAGTTTGTCTATAACTAGGGAGGAGTGTAACATAGTTGTGTGCACATCCTTGACAATAACTAAGTGAAAGTTTTCTTTAAGTACTATAAGAGACCATTATGCCGGCTATTTTGTGCAGGTGCACTTTTTGTTTCTTTGTTGAGTTGGGAAAGATGGTCTTGTTTGAGTTCTACTGTTGTAAGAAATCTTCAGATAAAAGCTGTGTGGACTGTCTTGTTTTTGTGTTACGACTGACTAGGAGAGATATGGCTTTTGAAAGTAAGCTGTTTGAACAACTGGCTCTATTATAAAACTGCCCATTTGTTAATCCTTACTGAACCCCAAAAGCTCTATTCATCCTTCTCAACTCTAGACATAGAGTCCAAAATTTATTTTCTCTTTGGCACAAAGCAAACAATAAGACTTATTTTGAACAAGACATTGTTTTACTTGTTATCTATTATTCAAAGCATTGTGGATTTTATTTCCGAAATGAAAGATTTAGAAGACCGTGGAATGTTATCACTAGACTTTTTCATTTTCTTCTAACAGTACCTATAGAAAAACAAACAGGCGTATGTGAACTGTCTCTCTTATCACAGGACTATGGTATTTGAAAGATTAATTCAAGTTTTTGTGATTTCATTTTCACCTTTGAAAAGTTTCCATCAGGATTAACATCCACAGGAAATTTGTTTAATAGAAATTTGATGCTTTCATTTTAAAGCAGATAGAATACATACAAAAGTAAAGCTGAAAATTACTATGGATAGACTGAAATTAAGAAATGCCATATTAGAAGGAATTGCAATGTTTAGGTACAGTAAATCAGAGGAAAGTTTCTGACAGTATGAAGCTTGTCATGGCATCCATTTCCTATACATGCAGAGTTCAGTGCATTTTAAATTAAGGAGAGTCTATGAACAGCAGCAGCAGTACCTGTGTCAAGGTTAGTGGTTTTCTAAAAAATAATATAATAATTATTGACAATATTATAATGAACAATAAATAAATCGGATTCCAAAAAGATTAACTACAGAATATCTTCTTTTTTTGTTTTAGCTTAATTGGGCAAATATAAAGTCAAATCAATCAGGATCTCTGAGTTAATCAAGTGTCAAAAACATTTCGCATAACAAAACCGTGAAGGAAGCAGACCTTAAATTTAGATCGGGTTTCTCTGTAGGTGTCCGAACAGTTCAATGAAATAAGCTGCAATACAGTCAGGCAGACAGATTTTAAATTCTTCAAGCAAAATTAGCTCTTTAAGGTTTGTCAAAATCAGATTATTTGCAAGCAGTGCTTGACTTTTGATTTTTGACACAAGGTTTGATTGTTTTTATCATTTCAAAACTTTGAATACTATGCCTCAGAGCCTCATCTTGACATGCATGTGTAAAGTAGAGTTAACAGCTTCTGTTTTAAAAGGTTTTGAATTTGTGTTAAGATTTGTATCTGTCGTAACTGTTAATACAATGATGAATATAATTGAAGTTATACTGTTTAAAGTTTAAGCTTTTAAAGTCATACAATGTCTACGTTAGGCAGGGACATGGTGCTGTTTCTTATTTTTAATTTTCTTCCCACTTTCACCTTGCCATAACTATAGAGAGGATGTAGTACATTTAGGGGCCTGTTCAGGATCTTTGATCTGTTTTGTGGAGCTGATATTTTATCTGGGTTCACGCATGCTGCACTTGGCGTTGTTTTAGTTTGTGGTGGTCCTTTGTATTACACGTATTACGGTAATACAGTTTGTATTACAGGTAATTGTGGTGTCCATCATGGCTTTCAGTTTAGATTACTTTATTCTGTACCCGACTTTGGAGCAGTTTGAGAAATGTTGCCAGAGAGATGTTTAATCAATAGCGGGTTTTAGTCTCTCGGCTTACTGGGGGTCTATCAGATGTTAAATTAAGGAAGGAGACAACCCCCACCCCCAGACAGACAAACTCTGATAACAAAGCCGCTTATAACAGCAAGGTGATTTTCTGCTCAATTAAATGAGAGCTACAATACAATTAGAAAGATTTTAAATGATTTAAGCGACTTTAACTGTTTGTCAAATTCACCTACTGTACTTTGTGCGGTACACGACTTCTGAAAAGATTTCTCTCGTTCAAACTCATCAAAGGTTTATTTTTTATAATTCCGAAGCTTGGACAATATGCCTCAGGGTCTCATTCATAGTATATTAAAGAAAAACCCTCCACCCCATCCCGCCAGGTCTCACTTCCTGCTGTTCCAAACATGTGAATCCTATGAAGTCAGATCCACAGATACGCCAAAACAATAGCGTACACGGCAATGATCAGCAGTGTGTTCGTATACTGTGTAAATATACTGTATATACAGTATGATACCGTATGGTTTCAAAGCCACTACAGTACAGTATGTGTGAAATATTTTTATTAATAAAAATTTTAAGTTAAATTTTCATTGCTGAAATTTGTATTATGGCAAAATATAGATTTTCTTAATGCGGATGTAAATCTGAAAGAGGCACATCGCGTTCGCAACAAGCTATAATAATAAACTATTTTTTTGCATCCAGCTATGTAAAAAATATAGCCAAAAGGATCGCTTTAAAGGTAATTCTAAGCTGAAAAGACAAGACTTCTCTATAACTCTTTAGTTTACAGCTCGTCCATGGTAATTCATTATTATTATTAATAATATATTCCTTATTGCATTTAAATTGGAACGTTTTTCAAATATAAAAAGAGACAATACACAATGTGTCTCCTCTATAACTGTTCAGTTTACAGAAAAATTCCTGCAGAGCCACACAACATTGTCAGAACATGGTAAACAACAGTCACTGGCTCACTTAAAGATGTAACATGTCTGTCTTCACTGTCATGGTACGGCTTGAACATATTGATAAGCTGTTCTCCAGTTAATCGCGATTGTAAAAATAACCCTTCTTTCATCCTTTGTTTAACTTAAAGAATTCTGTGAAGAAATCCTTAAACACAAAACCATTACTTATAATAATTCATTCTGATACACACACTCTGAGAGTGTGAGAGCATTTAGATGGACCGCGAACATTGGGCCATAATACACCTCTCACACACGTAAAATGCTCTCACACTCTTCATTTAACCTCTCACATAGACACACAAAAAGCTCTCACATTCATTAGTTTTACCTTTCACATACACATAAAATTCACTCGTGTTCAATAGTTTTACCTCTCACGTTTACGTTGCAAAGGAGTGTTTTATGTATATGTGTGAGGTAAAACTAGTAAATGTGAGAGCGTTTTATGTGTATGTGTGTGGTAAAACTAATGAATGTGAGAGCATTTAGTGTGTAGTGTATGTAAGAGGTAAAACTATTGAATGTGAGAGTGTTTTATGCGTATGTGCGAGGTAAAACTAGTGAATGTGAGAGCGTTTTCTGTGTACGTGAGAGCATCGTGTGTGTATGCGAGAGGTAAAATGGAGAGTGTGAGAGCATTTTATATGAATGTGAGAGGTAAAATGGAGAATGTGAGAGCCTTTTGTGTGTTTGAGATGTGAAGTTTAAATAATGGCCTAAACGGCACCTCATATATTACGTTATACTATTGTTTTTATTTTCCGCTACCAAAATTTACCTTTGGATTTTCTCTATGTGGATGTAAACCTGAAAGAGGCACATCGCGTTCACAAGCTACAGTATAATAATAAACTATTTTTTTATATATCCAACTGAGCAATCTTGCTTTTATAAAATATACCTACATTTTAATTAGTTTAATATTTAACGTGCTGAAGTACACAGTTTAAAATTGATAAAAGTCTAAACAGTATACAACTTAAATTCTATAGTTGGAAAAAGATAGTCCCTCAGTATTGACTGGGATTCGAAACCTTGCGTTTTCTGGGAACAGCCCAAACTCTCCACATGCCACATTAAGCTTTCACTGCCCTACCTGGTGGTTTTACAAAGTAGTGCAGTCTCTTGAGTATTTTTAAAAAGCTTCGGTACTCTGCAGCACCTGAACTGTAAAGTACTGCAGTATCCCCCGATCATTCTGAAGGGCTGGATCTGTATATTGGATAAAGCAGTTAGAAAATTGATGGATGGATGTTTGCATAGACTAAACAA